GGACATCAGTTGTCGCTTATCTCTTAAGAGCGATAACGGACCACGGCGGAATACCAGCGCTGCAGCGCTATTTGTTGTTGTTTAGCGCGACAATCGTAGTCCGCGTTGGTCCGCGTAGTTTGTGTTGGTCCCAACTAATTAAATCGAATCAGCCCTTGCCAAGCCCGATACCTGCCTGTTCGAAAAAATATCAAGAAATGCAAACAGAATAAGATCGTTTTGGAGTGCGGTTTAAAAATTCCGGTGCAGTATAGAAAAATCACCGAGTATTTAGAACTACATACTATTCCAAGTCTCAGCCAGGATCTTTATTTAGGAATAGATTTTTGGCAGGCTTTAGATCTTTTGCCGGCCAGTATGAATATAGCGGAAATAGCTCCGGTATCGCATAATCTTTTAACTACCCAACAGGAGATACTTAAGTCTGTAGTGGCGCTGTTTCCCTCATTCGCTATTTCTGGTTTAGGCAGAACCGGCCTTATTTCTCTTTCGATTGACATTTGCAGGCGCAAAGGCGGTATAACAAAGGCATTTCCCCGTTTCTCCAGCGATTGAAAAACTGATATATGAATATGCATGGTCATCGCTAGTGGTTTTGGTACAGAAGCCAGGAAAAGTACGTCTTTGTTTAGACAGCAGAATAGTTAATGAAGTTACCAAATAGGATGCATATCCGCTACCGTAAATATAAGGCATTTTTGGCCAGCTTCCCAAACCAATGTTTAAAGTCTCGACCTTCAAGATGCATACTGGCAGATCCCCGTTGATAAGGCGTCGCGAGATAAAACGGCTTTTACTATTCCGGTGAAGCACCTTTATCAATATAAAGTCATGCCTTTTGGTCTCACGAACGCTTCTCAGACAATGATTAGATTAATGGACAATGTAATATCAGCCAGTTTAAGGACCGAGGTTATCGTCTACTTGGAGATTTGAGGACCACATGAGAGTACTAAGTTTGCTATGACCCTAAATGTCGAAAAAAGCAAGTTCTGCATGCGAAGCGTTAAGTATTTGGGCCATATTGATGGCAAGGGCGTTATACGTACTGACCCAGAGAAAATATCGGTCATGAAAGATTTTCCTTTGCCGCAGTCGATCAAGGCTCTGCGACATTTTCTTGGAATGGCTGGGTGGTACAGAAAATTTATTACAAAATTTCCCTTAGTCACAGCCAAGCAGCTTTTGAGCAGCTGAGGGAAATGTTGAGTTCGGACCAGTTTTGCACAGCCCCGGATTTAGCAGACCATTTTTTATAGAGTAAATGAGTCGGAGCTAGCTGATTAGATTTAAGTCAGGGTTTATTACTTGAAGCCATTGGAAAAGGTTAATGCCAATGCTGAGAAACTTCCGGACCTTACAGTGTGTGATAATCTGGTCGGATTTGGAGATCAAATATTTGCAATATGATCTTTTTCACACTTTTGGGGTGCCAGAAACTGTTGTGTCTGACAACTTTTCGCTATTCAAATCAGAGGCATTTCAAATGTTTCTGAGGGAAAATAAGGTAGGCTTTACTCTTACCGCAGTTCATTCTTCGCAGGCCAATGCGTCTGAAAGGGTGAATAGGTCCGTGATAGCGGCAATCCGTTCTTAAGTTCCCAGATCAGAAAGATTGGGATAAGCAGCTTAGTGGCATGATCTAGAGGACTTGCAAGGGAAGTATGTTGGCCGGTATGATGCTAAGGATATGAAGGAGTAGTCGGGCTTCCCTCTGCTGGGGGTTATCTGTCTCGGAAGTGTGACCCCCAAGACAGATCTTAAGCGGGGGGTGCTTGGTGCAGCTGCGGATGAGGTAAGAGTCGGTGGCGCCATCTAGATTTCGCTGGGGAGGATCGGTGGTCTGGCAGGGTTAGACATATTGGGTTAACAGGGCGAGTTGTAAGACTTTCTCAGAGTGAGAGAATTTCTCCAAGTAGGTGGAGAGATAGGTTGCCGCCTTTACGGCATCCTGATTAACCGCCATTCCTAATTCAAACATAATGGCATTCACCTTGTGATGTTGGTTCAAATAGAGCTGATTGTGTTAAAAGTTATAAAAAAAGTGCTTAGTCAGACGCAGAAGCGCACTAACATTTTTTTGGCAGTGCTGTGAAGCTACCTCAACGCAAAATCCAGAAAAAAAACAAAATTTGGTAAGTGAGGAATATAAGGAATGTGGTCGCTTTGGATTTTCTTTATATATATGTCGGATAATTCAGGTCTTCTCCACTTCAAGTCCTGGATGGTGCTGCAAGTATTCGTTGCCTTTGTTGCTCATAGCCGCCACTTACTCAACAGTCCTCAACATAACACCACGCTAAAACAGAACGCCATGCTAAAACTCGGGACGAATAATTAAGAGACCAGATCCAGCAACACAACGAAGCCATACACGTCCTCAGTTCGCAAACTGAGTCCCCATCATAACAGAACTGGTATATCCTAGCACGACCTATGATCACACCATAGTCTCGGTCTAAGGAGAGGCAGACTTGTCTCCTCTCCGACACAGCCATCCTGACATATAATATAATTAATTAAATTATATAATTTAATTAAAAAAAATTATTTTTATTTTTCTAATCACTTAATCACTATTACAATTTTTCAATAAGACGAACTTAGTTAATTCACTGCTCGTTTACTTTTACTTGATTAGCACTACTAATTTTTTTTTTTATTTTTGCTTCTAAAAACTTAACCACATAATCTCAAATTCGTATGATGTTCCATAACATAACTTAACATAACTTTTACAAGCCAACTTTTAAATTCTTCGCCAAATAGTTGGCTTCACGAATTCATCAAACACATCACTCGGAGTTAGCTGCTTTGGATGTAAGTCAGGGTTTATAAGTAGGGTTAGATTCACCCAAATTTAAAAGTGCAAAATACTTGGAGCTATTGGAAAAGGTTAAAGCCAATGCTGAGAACCTTTCGTGTGTAATAATTTGGTCGGATGTGGAGGTCAAGTATATGCAACAGGATCTTTCTCACACTTTTGGGGTGTCTAGTCTATTAAATCGGGTAGTTTCTTTGGGTCTGCCGGCCAGTATGTTGGTGTGCCAGAATTGACGAGACGAGATCCCCAGTGTGTGTGCTCGGCACTGTAGTCACCTGCTACTATGAAGTGGTTTTTGAATCAATCGATTTTGGTTTCGCATCAGATCTTGCATAGTTGTGCTCATAAGCGACCGAAATTCCGTAAGGCTTTGTTGTAGGCATAGCTTCAATGTTGCTTTTTGGCTGCTCCGGCGATTGATGTTGCTGAGTAAAACACACGAAGAAACGGTTTAGTCGAGTGCCTTAACTATAATATACCAGGTACTGTACAGCTATAGCGAAATAATGTTCCGATTCAAAAAATCATTGGTAAATCGACAGACATAAACAAAAAATTTTATACAAAGTCAAACGAAGACATACATTTTAATATTATGGATGACACAGTTTTCCACGGCTTATGGACATTACAGTGTGCGTGACTGCACGAAAACACCACGTCGAGCTTCGGCTGATGCAGAAACAAGCTAGCGCCGCATAGGTACCTTAAGGATCTGCATGATTAATCCTAACTTTGTATCATTTTTAGTTTCTGAGATATCAAATTTTATACAGACAGACAGACGGACATGGCTTAATAGACTTCAATATTGATACTGATCCAGAATATATATATCTATATATATATATAGGGTGGGACACGCTTCCTTTTGTAAAAAAGGCTGCTTACTAATTTATGGTGACGTCACTGTCCATGTGAGGCCTCATAACCTACATTTCTTCTTAAATGACGAAATATTGTTCCAGTTAGAAAAATCTTTGGAAAATCAATAGATATTCTCAAAAAAAAATGTTATACAAGGTCAAACGATGACATACATTATAATATTATGGATGCCACAGTTTTTCGCAGCTTGTGGGCGTTAGAGTCGGTGTGGCTGGATAAAAACGAACGCCAAGCATTATTTTCAAATTAAATATTTCTAAGCTGTTCTAGTACTCTTTTCAACAGACACCCGACACACTCAAATGAAGCGAGTGTCTGAGACACCCATGTTTTTGGGAAATGTGAGTCGGGTGTCTTGAAATGAGTCGAGTGTCTTGAAATGAGTCGGGTGTTTCGGGTGTCTTCAGCTGTATTGCATGAGCAGGTCATTGTGGGTTGACCGAATAATTTTACATGAAAGGAAGGAAGGAAATCCCAATAATGGTTTTTTCTAAGATTAAAATTAATCCAAACGGAAAACAAATTATTTTGACTTTTTTAAGAGGCTATTTTTATGTTAAATTATTGGGATTTCCTTCCTTCCTTTCATGTAAAATTATTCGGTCAACCCACAATACCTGCTCATGCAATACAGCTGAAGACACCCGAAACACTCAGATCAGTTGAAGACACCCGAAACACCCGACTCATTTCAAGACACTCGAATCATTTCAAGACACCCGACTCATTTCAAGACACCCGACTCACTTTTCCCAAAAACATGGGTCTCTCAGACACTCGCTTAATTTGCTATGAGTGTGTCGGGTGTCTGTGCATTAGGATCATGTGCATAGAATTGAGCGGGTGTCAAAAACGCAAACACCCAAATCGCACAATGCGATCTGTGCACTCCGGGTGTGTGCCCTTTTCTTGCTGTTCATGAGTGCGACAAACACTCGAAATGTATGAGTGTGATTCGGGTGCCGAAAAAAGGCGCCCTTGACGTTCTCTGTTCTGTACATACTTTTCACTGAATCTAATTTACGCGTTTACTCTTTCGAGAAACGGATATAACAATTTAATCGTAGCTGTGTACATCAAAACATTAAAATGATAATAATCTGCGTATGCTAAGTCCCTATGCTTTATAATTTTCCTTAAATGGTTGATATCAAAAATGTCTTACACTATTGAAAAATATGCTTTTCTTATTAAAAAAATGTTATCTTAACATATAGTAAACTAGATAATTATATTAAGTTTAGTCATTTCTTTTTATACTAAGTTTATTAAATTATTTTTTAAACAGTTTGAATACACCTTTTTGTTAAAAGTAATGGCTCTCGAAGGACTTGGAAGAGTTTTTGGATCATTGGAGAATACGATCGTCTACGCCGAGGTAACTGTAAATGTTACCAACCTTAGGCTTAATCTTCAGCATTTCCGAATAATACGATTCAGGTAAGTTCAGAAAATATATTTATAAGAGCCGTTGATTTATATGGGGAAAATTACCAGAGGCCTAATGTGTTTTTTTTTAGATTTATTCACTTATCCATATTTATCTATTACTACGTATTAACCATATTATTATTTTAATATTATCGTGCCTAATCAAATTTCAACCAGTGAACCCGATTAAAACAAATCGTTTTGTTACCGCGTGCACCGCGCAAGGAGTTCCAAGTTTGAGTTTTTTGCTGAAACCAGGCTCTTGTGTAACCTTCTCAATGAATTAATTTAATTATTTACTATTGCTCCCATAGAATTCAGCAATTTCAGAAACATTAGCAATTTATTACTGGAGAGGCAACTTTTTTGATGAGAAATTAAAGTATTTTAGGTAATTGAAAAATTAATATTTCTGACTTTGCCAAATTGATACTATTTGTTGCATCCGAATACCATTTTGAAAAGTGAATTGATCTTATCTTGGCCTAAATGAAAATTTTTATAAGCATTGAGCAATGGTTAAATTTTGCGGGATCTGGGGAGATCAAAACTTTTTTACGACCAGGTGTACATGCAATATCGAATGTATTCTGGTGGAAGAAATGCCCAAGGATGCCTCTATCTCACGATATGGCACTTGACGATCTTGCAGTTCACGCACGGCATCAGAGTTCTCCGGCACAATAACTGTTTTTGGACGACCATCACGAACTTCGTCTTCGAGCGAGCATCGGCCACGATAGATTTTAGTACATTACGAGATCGCCCGCTTGGGATATTGATTGTACATAATAATTTTAGAGTGAGAGTGCCACTCAGAGAGCGGGACTTAGTCATTTAAAGAATTGTTTATGTTATTGAGAAGCCGCATTGCCTGCTCCGGATGTGGATTGTTTACATTGGTTCAGCGGGGGATCGGCTACGCTGCAGATTCTTATTTCTTGGTACATATCGGAATTTGTGAATATGTCACTTCCCTCCCCTTAAAAGGGTTGCCTATGTTTGGGCTGGCATTTCAGTTAAATCAAATTCTGGACATAACGAATTTTCGCTTAAAATAACATTTCTAATTTAAACTCTACATTATTTTGTTCTAAAAATTTTGCTTCCGTTTATTTTTATATCGCCATTTAATTCTTGACAATTTTGTTTGATTGTGGTTTCAGTTAGATTCCATGTAAGTATAATATTTGTGTCAACGTATTGAATAATTTCCTTTGAAGGAGTTGGTATAAAATTACAAATTCAATTTTTACGCTTAAATATATTTTTAATGCATTCATTATTAACTTCTTTATTGTCTTGATTATAAATTTTATTCTCATCTTCAAAATATGATTGTTGATCTGAATAGTCTAACTGATACCCATTATGGTCGGGATAAGGAATTATTTTAATAGTGTTAATGGATTTGTGGTTAATAGGGATATGCGAAAAAAGTAGTAATTCGTTGTTTTTGTAGTCAATCCACGTTGGTGTTTTGATTAAAAGTTTATTTTGGCTGTTAATGCGTTCTACTTTGTCGTAATTGAGTAACTTTGGGTTAAAAAGTCCAAGACGTGAAAGTTGCATGCCCATTTCGATGTCTTCAATGTACTCAATAAATTGCATGAGTTCATAAACAAGTGTGTCAATACTATTGCGGCTATTTTTGTAGTTAGTAAGTTTCTCCAGTCCTTCATTCTCAAACTTTACAACATCATTTAATTTATGAACTTGAATTGAATTTTCTGCAATTATGTCTATTTTTTTTGTTAATTTTTACCCTATCATTTTCATCAAGTGTGCCAAAAAGAAATTTAAAAGATGAACCTATTATGTCAATTATGTCAATTAAATTATGTTTCTGCCTATTTTGCTGATGAATAGTTATACCATTTAATTCTTTTAGTAGTTTGTTTTACAAATATTTCATTCTGGGCGAGTCTTTGATTTTGTTACCAAAAGAATGTCGATTTTAAATTGGTATTCATTTAACTTGGCTCTCCATCTTTGTAAGTAGGTTAATAAAGCTGGTTCTGGCACAGATTTATGGGCTATTAAGCTATCACATTAGTGATAAAAACATGGTTACCCCCACCCCGAAACCCATTATCCGTCGTCTCCTGTGATTCCCCCTCACCCTTTTAGTCAGAAACCCATAAATTATAGTTTTTAAAATCAGTGCACGTGTTAAAAGAAGTAATAAAATGTGACGATTGTGTCATGATTAGCTTTCCGACCCCCCTATCCGTTATTTGGGAATATTGAAATGTATTCCTGACCCTAATTAGGAGGATTGGGAACGTCTTAAGGGGTTGAATTTTCTCAAAACGCACTGTCAATTTCTATATATGTAAGCCTCTGCCTACGTGTGTGCGTGTGTATGATTGAGTGGGGACGCACCGTAATAAAATGTGTGTTTTAGTATTTATCTCTCTATTCCAACACATACTCGTAGATAAAAAGGATACAAGAGGTTGTGGTTTTGTGTGTTTATTCATTGTTTCACAGCGCTAAGTAATTTCACTCCTAATAAAGGGTCACTTCATACGCATGCATCTGATTTGTAAACATCTTGTAAGAGCATGTTACGGCACCCGTTGCGCACGCGCTGAATGCGGTTGAGTTCCAGGGGTAGTGTACAAGTTAACTGAAGTTAACTGAGCAGCGGCAATGTCCGATATTTTAAGAGCTCGCTCTGGCCAAACTGCTGACACAGCGTCTGGCCGGATGCCCATACATAGCGGCGAGCACTGCACATTTGCGTGGCCGCTAAGAAATAGATTTTGTTAGCTTTAAGTTTCAGTTTGTGTCAGAGTCTCAAACAATAAAGAGCACTTTAAATCAAATCTCCGGCATAGCCGTTAAATAGTAAATTCATTTTATTGAATTGGTCACCGCGCCTCAAGGGCCGTGATAACGGAGCAAGTGCTCCCACCGTAATTCCCGTCATAGAAGGAATTTTCCTCGGCAACCGCCAGCGACCCAAACATCGCTCACTGCCTACAAGGAGAAGCAACCCCCTCGGCAACCGCCATGGACGACTACTCCATCATCTCTCTAGCATCTGCGTCACCACTGACTGCAGCGAGGGATAACCGATTATAATATAATATACCACCCCATATCTTTATTTACTGGCGCCCAACGTAGAAATTATGTAAGTGAGCACTTTTATCTACATAAATACCCTCTATGTCTGCATGAATTTTTTTTATAAAAAAAAAGACGAGAATAGTGAAATATTGTTCCTTACACTGACACCTACAAATGTGCAGCCCCTTTTACCTTTTCAATTTAATTAATTTCCATTAAGTGGCTGACGGTTTAGCGTTGACATTTCTTATCTTATTATAAAATTTATAAACCATTTTTATAAACTAATTACTTCCCAATATTGTTTGCATTTCTTTTTTGTGTGAATAAATAAATAAATATTACTACATATGTAACACAACAAGTGCGGAATAAAAATTCTTAACCAAGACGAAAAAATCGCTGGCAAAAAATTTAAATTTCTGTCCGAAATAATTTATATAATCGCGTGTATTTAATTCAGCTTTTATATGTCTCTTTTGTTGCACAAGAATTCTTGGTATTAGATGCGCAGTTTTGGTTATTTATTTTTCTTCTCCGTTTTGTTTCCCCACTCCGTTTTCAGAAATACGGTACGGCCGCAAATGCCATGTATGCCACTTTGTTGCTTTTATTTTTATTTGTTTGTCATAAGCGGAGGCTCAGTCCCCGCGCACCCCTCACCTTACCGTTACCTGACACAGCAATAGCGCAATTTGACGAGCCCGCACACATAACTAAAGCGGCAGCTCAGCCCCCGCGGCCCCCTTACCAGCCCAATTGCCTCTGTCGGCATAAATTTCATGCATAAATTTATTTTAACGGGCGGTTTTATAGCTACAGCTCCACATGAGCAATCCCTTTCAACAATATAGGAACACAAGACAACTCTCTAGTGATTCTGAGTCCGAGACCGAAGGGCCAGTAGGACAAAGACAAAAAAACAGCACCCAAAGGCGCAAGAATACCGACAGACTTCTGCGCAGGCAAATGCACAGACAAACGCTGGCAATAATCCGTACTACGCCAAGCAACACAAGGCGCAGGTACAATCTGCCCCACCAAGTCGAGGCACCCCTGAATCCATGGACATCGACCCATCGCTGTCCAAGATGCTTAAGCCATCCCAAGCCCCGGCATACCAAAACAGGAAGCTGGCTGAGTCCGATCGATCTGCTCCACACAAAAGGCAGAGGCTTAATCACGTCGCGCAGGGCGCGAGCGAAACCGGGATCAAATATACTGCCGCAACGCGTCTCAAGAAATTGACGACGGTGCTGTTAAAGATTACGATTCGGACGTCATACATTTTTTAGGGGAAAGTCCCTGCTACCCGTCATCAGACGAAGAGTAGCAGGTGTAGAAATGAAGCCTTTAATAGACACGGGCGCGTAAAAAAATTTCATCCGTCCATACGAAGGGTTGAAAGGCGTCCGCCCAGTAGATTCGCCATTTTCAGTACATTCCATCCATGGCGTTACCACGATAGCAAAAAAAAATGCTTCATATTCCTGTTCAACTTGAAGGCTATGTTCTTCATCTTACCAGATTTGTCCTTCTTTGAAGCCATCATCGGCCTTGATCTATTAAAACAAGCAGGAGCATCACTTGACCTAGCTTCCGGCCACCTCAAATGGGGCTCCGAGATGAAAAAGCTAGAATTCCAATCATGCCCCGACGTAAATGTCACTGAGGTGGACTCCTCCAGCGCACCACCTTTAGTCAGAAAAGCATTTTCAAAAATGCTAAGCGACAGGAAAAACGCCTTCGCGAACCCAGATGAGGCGTTACCTTACAACACGTCAGTGGTAGCCACCATCAGGACAGTTGATGAGGAGCCCATTTATGCCAGACCCTATCCGTACCCGATTGGAACGGGAGATTTCGTCAATGGCGAAATTCAAGACCTACTAAAAACGGCATAATCCAGAAGTCGAGATCCCCCTACAATA